TACTCCGTCAAAGCATAGCATACATGGACATTTCTTCAGAGATTCATCATGAAATTCGATACCCAAAGGTCAAACATAGTGACCACTAGGTTTTAGGGTTTTTCCGTTGGTTCAAAGCCTTCAATAATCAATTTCCCCTCTCCGGTAAACTCAACACTGAATTCCCATCTGTATTCAAGATTTTCTCACTCAATTTTGCTATCATCATCTGACATGCGTCACTCTCCACTACGAATTTTGATTTTTTGAAGCCCTAGATCCTTAAATGGCACTATAAAGGGGGCCTTTAATGTTCTCACCAAACACACAGACACGAACACTACGACCTAATACTGATATCATCTAAAAACATTTAGAGTCCAAAAGGCCTAGGTTTTCTTATTGTTCTTTTCTTTTCGATTCCTATGTACTGTCGTTGTTATGAACTGGAGGTTCCTGGGGTCTTAAGCAACTGAGAGAGCTTTCGTTTGGTTTGTTTCCCTCAGAAAGGTCAGCACATCTCTCATCTCTCTCTTTTTTTCATCTTTTTTGAATGTTATAAATGCATTAGTTGTCTTTTGAGAATCATAGTTATTTATGGTGTTTGCGATTAGTATGTTAGTGCTTATATTCCGTTAGTCTAATGCCTGCTTATGATTAATTGTCCTTCCTTTCGAGTCTTTAATTGTTGATTGATCAAGCCATTAAGTGATTCTTGATGGTTTTCGAGTTCCAATAGTCTATATGTTTAAGTTGTAGTGTACCTTGAATGATTATGCATACTTGGCCAAGCCCCACTATCTTTCACTTATGATTCTACAGCGACCTTTACCCTTATATGTTACCTCTCTATATTATGTTAGTCTTGTGTTTAAGATTATTGTTTGATAATCAATACTGAGATGAATCTAAAGGTGCTTAAGTTTATATCACCTACCCTTTAACTTAAACATGAACATCTAAGTATTTATATATTTCTCTTCTCCATACATATGTCTGTTAAACTGTGGAGACCATTTCTGGTTTGTCACTATGACATTTTCAAGATCTCATCTAGTTATGGTTGTATCTGTTGACCTGGTTTTGTTTGAAATTGAACTGTCTTCTTTTCATGAATATTTACTGTACATTCTGTTGAGAATAAGTTATCTTTCCCCTATAAAACAATCATAATCATGTTTCTTTTTCTTTGTTATAAATGGATGATAATTTGTTGTTAAGCTGAACTTGGTTGTTTCTTGATTAGTTAACATCTTCAGCTGCAAATTCAATTCAAGGCTTACTTAGCATAGTACCTCCCTGTCTATAATCCTTTTATGTTATTATTGGTCTTTGAAAAGTTGACATGCATTTTATCTTTAAGATTATATTCTCTAAAATATAGGACTTAATTATTCTGTTATAATCAAGTGATAATTTATGAAAACAGTAGCATGGCCATTTCATACTTAGATGTTGAACTAGACTTATGTTTGGGTTTATACTTGTTTTAATATTATGCTTCCCTTTATCTGTAACTCCATCTCTTCATGGCATATTTAACCTGATTCTATAAATGTGTAAAGCACCCATGTCTGTATAACGTTACTACTACACTTGAAGTGTTCAGGTAGCTTACTGAATGTTGTATGTTCCTATTTGATTCTTGATTTCATGCTTTGACCAGAACAACCCCAGTCCTTTCCCTGTTATTGATTTGAAACTAGATCTGATCCTTAAAGCTTATTAGGTTATTTGTTGATATTGTCTAAGCATGATGACCTATTAGAGGCTAATGCAGTTAAGGATATAACTCTGTTGAGCCCTTAAGGATTCATGTTCAAAGCTGTGAATTTGTAGTCATGTTGAGAATCTAATCTAGCTCATGATACCTTTGATAACTCCTGTAAAAATGTTTAGTCGTGACTGCTTTGTTTGAATTTTCATTGTCTACGTTTAAAGTGTTAAGTAGTATTATCAACCCATGTATGTGATAGTGGTAAACCAATCAGTTTACAGTTGGTTTGCTAGAGACAGGAACATCTATATATGTTGTGTTATTGCATATATGACCCTGTATAGCTTGCCTTTCCTTTTGAGTGTACTCTTCTCTAGTGTTCGGACCTTTACAGCATGCTTGTGATGTCTCTGCTCCGTTCTTGTGTACATTTGAAAATCAGACCTTTAAATTCACTTGATATATGTTTTGTTTGGTATCAGATGTAGACTATATGTTCTTATGTTATGAGGGAAAGGATATTTTGTGGTAATCTTATAGCACTTAGTTTACATTAAAAGGGCCTCATTGGCATTTAGACATATAAGAAAAATATGTTTTTAGTATTTAAGGGCATTTAGGAGTGGAGTTTAACTATAGGTTGGGCTGCCCTCTTCGGCACAAGCATTACCCTGGGCGTTGAGTCCCTTGGGAACTTTGAAGTTTCGGGGGATTCAAAGGGGGCATCGACTTTGAGTAAAACTTCCTCCTTAGCCCTTAATTCATTGACACATTTAGTTCTTTAGGCGTTTAATGTTTAATAACAACGAAAGATTTTTAATGTAAATTATTTACCGAGTATAACTACCACATTAATATAATTTCCTATAGTATTCGAATATTGATAAATTTCCTGTTCCAGTTGTTTGTCTATATATATTTCATACATGTTTGAATATGCTGAGAATGTGGAATATATATCTAATGACCTTCTTTATTTTTGGGCATGTACATATTTGGGCCTGCTGAGTTGCTAAGAAACTCAGGCCCAAACCAGCCTTGTTGCACTTCCTTGAGGGTCCAGTCAGCTATCGCGACATCTTTCAAATGCTGGGCATACCTTCTTAAGGTCCAACCATCAGAGACCAGTTTTCTTTTCCCTCATTTCCTTCGTTATTAGTTATTGCTTCCTTAGCTTAGTTTACTGCTTTATTACTTTCTCCTACTATCTTTGTCGTTTTATCATATTTTATTATCATGTATTTAACACTCATCTATTAGAACATGTACTTTACCTTTTATGTTTTAATATCACCTGAAACCTAGGAAAGCTTTAACTAATATAGGATTTAAAGAGAATTAGTTAGTAATTAATCTTCACTCCGCAAATTATAATTTATTTATCTTGTTCACTCACCTCTCTTAAAAGATTTCTTTTGAAGCCCAAAATTTAATCAAAGAAACATCAGCCTGTTTTTTAGAAAGAATCGCCAGTTTATTAACAAGGAACGAAATTAGATTTTTTTTCCCATAAAAACAGTAAGGTACTGTCACCCCAAATGAGTTTTCAAAGATCGCCCCTTTTCAGATTTTTAAATCAATATACATTTAGATTCACTCTCATACCAACATCTTTTAGAATCATATAAACATCTATTCTCTAAGTTAATTACTTCCATAACTTAATAATTATAAGCCTTATGAAATATGGACTACTTTCAGAACTCCTTTAACCTTCCATAACTCTTTCGTAATCTCACATCTTTATTAAGTCTTACATCCCTTATATATACCTTACTTTTAATATATATAGTAAGCATGCCCTAATAGTAATTAAGCATAGTATAATAATTAATTCCTTAAAAATTAGTCTAGGTCCTATGGAGCTACCACAGGTAGATTTTAAGGGGTGCCTAACACCTTTCCCTTAGAAGAACAAGAACCCTTACCCATAATCTCACCATTTTGCAGAGCTATAAGGAACACAACTTAGCAATTAAATAGGTACTCTAGTATACCTTTAAATATTAGGAGGCGACTCTCTTTCATCAACAACAAAGAAATCACAAGTTGAATCATGTCTTGACTAGTGCAAAATAGGGTGCAACAACAAATCTTGATGCACGAGGAAGATGCAGAGAAGACGGCCTTCACCACACCTTAGGGAGTTTACTGCTATAGAGTCATGTCGTTCAGTCTCAAGAATGTCGGCGCCACCTACATGATGGCCCTGACGACCCTTTTTCACGACATGATTCATAAGGAGATTTAAGTGTATGTGGATGGCGTCATCATCAAGTCTCGAAAGTGTTCAGAGCACTTAGACAATTTGAGGAAATTTTTCAATTGCATGCGGAGGTACAATTTGAAATTGAATCCTGAAAAGTGTGCATTTGGAGTCCCTACTGGAAAACTGTTGGGCTTCATTGTAAGCAGGAAGGGGATAGAACTAGACCATCAAAAATCTAGGCCATTCAAGAATTGCCACCACCAAAAAGTAATAAAGATGTAATGAGTTTCCTGGGTGGATTGAATTACATCAGTCTCTTTATAGCCCAGTGCACGGTAATTTGTGAACTCATTTTCAAGTTGTTAAAAAAAGATGCTGCCACAAAATGGACAGAAGAGTGCCAGAAAGCCATCAATATAATCAAGGAGTATCATTCAAATCCAGCAGTGCTGGCTCCCCCTGAACCAGGGAAGCCATTATTACTATATCTATCAGTCTTGGATAACGCCTTCGGCTCTGTGTTGGGAAAGCATGATGAGATTGGGAGAAAAGAGCAGGCCATCTACTACTTGAGTAAGAAGTTCACGCCATGCGAGGCCAAGTATACTTTGATAGGACTCACTTGTTGTGCTCTGACTTGGATTGCCTAGAAACTAAGGCATTACATATAAGCATACACTACGTATCTGATATCTCGGCTCGACCCGCTCAAGTACATATTCCAAAAGCCGATGCCTACCGAAAAGCTAGCTAAATGGAAAATTCTCCTCAGTGAATTTGACATTGTATACATAACTCAAAGGACTATCAAGGGGCAAGCTTTAGCTGACCACCAAGCAGGGAATTCGGTGGATAGGGATTACGAGCCACTCACTACGTATTTTCCTAATGATAAAGTATTATTTGCTGGAGAAGATATTGCAGAATCATACCCTTGATAGAAAATGTTTTCGATGGCGCAGCAAACTTTAAAGGAGTCAGAATTAGGGTAGTCCTAATTTTGGAATCTGGACAACACTATCCAGCATCAGCAAAGATAAGATTCACTTGTACCAATAATATGGTTGAATCGAAGCATGCATCCTTGGAATCAGAATGGAAGTCGACATGAATGTCAAAGAACTTTTGGTCATAGGGTATTCCAATATATTGATACACAAAGTCCAAGGGGAATGGTCCACCAAAATTGTCAAAATCCTTCCATACTTGCACTGGGTGAAGGAGTCATGGAAGAAGTTCAGAAAGATTGAGTTCAAGCACGTCCCCAGGATTCAGAATGAGTTCGCTAACGCCCTTGCAACTTTATCATCTATGATTCAGCATCCAAATAAGAACTACATCAACCCTATCGATATAGAGATCAGGGATCAACATGCATATTGCTTCCACGTATATGAAGAGCCAGATGGTAAGCCATGGTATCACGGTATCAGGAAATTCCTTGCAACCAGAGAATACCCAAAAAATGCTACTAATGGTCAAAAGCGAGCCCTCAGAAGATTGGCGAACCAGTTTTTCCTCAATGGGGATGTCATGTATAAGAGGACCCCAGATTTAGGTTTGTTGAGATGTGTAGATGCTGCCGAGGCAACCATGTTACTGGAAGAAATACATGCAGGAACATGAATGGGTTCACATTAGCCAATAAGATCTTGAGAGCTGGATACTTTTGGATGACTATGTAAAGCGATAGTATCTGCTACCTATAGAGGTGTCACTAGTGCCAGGTTTATAGGAATTTCATCCGGGTTCTGCCGAATGAGTTGAATGTGATGGGTTCACCCTGGTCGTTCGCCGCTTGGGGCATGGACGTGATTCGACCCATAGAGTCAGCTTCATCAAATGGCATCGCTTCATCTTGGTAGCCATTGATTATATCACTAAATGGGTCAAAGCATCTACCTACAAGGCCGTCACAAATAAGGTAGTGGCAGATTTCGTCCGGAACAACATCGTCTACAGATTTGGAATATTGGAGTCTATCATCACTGACAATCCCGCTAACCTCAAAAGCGACCTCGTGACAGAAATCTACGAGAAGTTCAGCATCATCCACCGCAATTCCACAGCCTACAAACCATAAATGAATGGGGCAATCGATGCAGCCAACAAGAATATCAAGATGATTCTACAAAAGATAGTGGACAATCACAGGCAATGGCATGAGAAACTATTTTTCGCCTTACTGGCTTATCGGACCACCATGAGAACATCCATTAGGGCGACACCGTACAAGTTAGTATACGGCACTAAAGTTGTGATAACCCCAAAAGTCGAGATACCATCTTTAAGGAGCAACTCATGCTCATCGGTGAAAAAAGAATGGATGCGGTATGCCATGGTCAGCTATATCAGGACAGGATGTCCAGTGCATTTAACAAGAGAGTGAAGCCTCGCTAGCTCGCACCGGGGCAGTTGGTCCTGAAGAAAATCTCTCCCCACTAAGAGGAAGCCAAAGGAAACTTCGCACCAAACTGGCAAGGTCCTTATGTGGTTAACCGAGTATTGTCGGGTGGAGCTATAATATTGGAAGAAATGGATGTAAAAATCAACATGAAGCCCATCAACGCAGACGCAATCAATAGATACTATGTTTGAAGACAAATACAGTTAGTTTTTTGCTGTAATATAACTTCGTTCAACCTGACTTCCCACAGAGGAATGCGTAAGCAGCCCACATAGGGTTCGATTCC